GGCTTTGCTTATTTCCTTCCATTTCTTTTTCTGGCACAGCCACGTGGAAGGTTTTGAACATGCATGCTTGGCTTCTGTCTGAACTTGAGATATGTTTGAATCTTTTGTTTTGTTTGAATCTGGCAGAAGATTCAGAAATGTTTCTGTTTTTGATTAATTTCTGCTTGCCAATTTATCTGAATTATTTATGGCATTTTTATGCTAATATCAACAGCAGAAATATTATCTAAATCATTTTGAAAACAGTCACAACAAAGCTTACTGATGATTAGTCTCAACAAGGCCAGAATTGTAGGCATGCAACCCATATGTGTCTTCTCAAGTGGCAGGAAGTGATTATTAGCTTCGAGTCCTTTCTGCATGTATTTGGAACAAAATAAACAGATGGGCCAGCTCTGGTATAGGAAGCTGGAGCTAATCCTGCTAGACTTCCCTATTCTATTCAATTGAAGTTAACAATCTGTGGCCTAAGATTGCCAGCAATCATTTGCTTACTTTAAGTGTCCTTAGAACAGGCTGTTCCATTGCATAAAGTGCTATTACAAAAACAAGAGATAAATCACAAGTGCACATACTTCAATAGGTACCTGAATGTGTAAAAATCTAACTATGGAAACATAGATTCTTCAGTTAGTCACATATTGCTTATTCCTTCTACTAAGTACAATATATTTTTAATAGTATAGTTTACTGAACAAGCTACAGATAAAGAAATAAAAACATGATTTACAAGTCAATATGCCCATTCACACAATATTCTAAACCAAAAGTCAACCAATCATGATTGGTTCTGTATTTAACACAATACAGAAACCTATCATTGGAAAAAAAATACAAATGTGGATTGCTATATATATATCTTGCTGTCTATACCACATATTTCTATGAATATTTTAGGAAAAGTAATAATTACACACTTGGTGACTTCATAAAATGTCAGGGGTGTTTTCAAGATATGATTTTGAAAAAGGTACAATGGTATACACAATGGTGCAACTGAAGCTTGATAGTATGTATACAATAGGTAGAATTTCAATCATGCTATTGTGGCTTTGACAATATTGATGATATCCCTATAAAGCAGTGTTTCCCAAAGTGTGGTATGCGTACCCTCAGGGGTACGGGAAGAGTTTGGTGGGGGTACGCGTTGCACCGGAGTTTGGTGGGGATCATGTGGGAATATCCACTGCACCGTGCTTAGCTGCGCCCACAGAACAAGGAAAGAAATAGGCGTGTATCGCCATTTTTACACGGGAACTGGGGCCATCATACATCGTATCGCAACTCATTATGGCGGGAACTTCTGCGCATCCTTCGCGCAGCTCGGGTTCGGCCATTTTTAAACTGCGGGAACATTAACAGTTGATGTTGAGCCGCGGAGCTGTTTAAACGCCGGAGAATTGCAGTGTTATCTAACGGTTAGACAGTCTTGTGAGGCGTGACACGGTATGAATATACTGCACTTCGTTACAGAGACAACTTACTTCTTTAATAGTTAGTTCCGGGCGCCTGTTATCGTACTTTAGTAAATTCCACTGATTTTGATTATTTTTATAAAATACAATTTTTATCCCTAACAGAGATTATGGATCACTTTTTTTTTTATCCCTAACAGAGATTATGGATTCTGTTAAGAAAAAAGCAAGGAAAACTTGCAAGTACGACAAAGAATATCTTAAATTTGGATTCTCATGGATTGGAGATGAAAATGAGCCTATTCCAGTTTGCGTCATTTGTTTTGAAAATCTAACAAATGAAAGCATGAAACCATCCAACTTAAAGCGCCATTTTGAGACAAACCATAATCAGTACAAAGATAAACCCATAGATTTTTTTGAAAATAAACTTAAGGGTTTAAATCAGTCTCGAAAAGTAATGCGGGGTTTGACGGGAGGCGACAATCAAAAAATACTAGAAGCTTCGTATCGGGTGTCGCTTTTAATTGCCAAATGTAGTGCAGCGGAAACCACTGGCGAAATTTTAATCAAGCCTGCAGCCAAGATAATGGCAGAAGTAATGATAGGAGATAGAGCGAAACAAACTTTTGACCGCGTTCCTCTCTCAAATAACAGTTCATCGACGAATCATTGATATGTCTAATAATGTAAAACAGATGTTATTATCTGATATTTCTCAAAGTCGTTATTATGCATTGCAAGTCGATGAGTCCACTGACATTGCGAATTTTGCAAATCTTATGGCGTCTGTTAGATACAGTTGCGGCCCTTTCTTGATCGGGATTCCCTGTGCACAGTCACTCACGCCCTCGTCACCTCTCGCCTTGACTACTGCAACGCTCTCTACATGGGGCTCCCATTGAAGAGCACCTGGAGGCTCCAACTGGTCCAGAATGCAGCAGCGCGGGTAGTGATGGGAGCAGCATGGCGCTCCCATGTAACACCGCTCCTGCGCGAGCTGCACTGGCTCCCAGTGGTCTTCCGGGTGTGCTTCAAGGTGCTGGTTATCACCTTTAAAGCGCTCCATGGCATCGGGCCTAGCTATCTTCGAGACCACCTGCTGCTACCGACGACCTCCCATCGTCCCGTGCGCTCCCACAGAGAGGGCCTCCTCAGGGTGCCATCAGCCAATCAATGTAGGCTGGTGACCCCCAGGGGGAGGGCCTTTTCTGTGGGGGCACCTACCCTCTGGAATCAGTTGCCCCCAGAGATAAGGAGAATCCAAGACCTTAGTGCCTTCCGCCGTGCCCTTAAAACCCACTTTTTCCAGCAAGCCGGGCTGGCTTAAGAAGAAATTTTAAATGTTTTAATTGGTTTGTATTTTTAATTTTGGGCCAAATTTATATATATTTTAATTGTTTTTTAATATTTGTATTTTATGTTTTTTTTTAATTCTGGCTGTACACCGCCCTGAGTCCTCAGGGAGAAGGGCGGTATATAAATTTATATAAATAAATAAATAAATAAATAAATAAATAAATAAATAAATAAATGAAAAAAATCAAGAAATTCATGACGACTTTTTATTTTGCCAGCCTTTATTAGGTCACACAACAGGAGAAGATATCTTTAATGTTATGAATACATTTATGCAAGAGAACAAAATTGATTGGAATAGATGTGTTGGAATAAGCACAGATGGAGTAAAAAGTATGGTCGGAATTAATAAAGGACTCGTTGCAAGAATTCAAAGTGTTGCTCCAAATGTCATATCCACACATTGTTGCATACACAGAGAGGCTTTGGCAACACGTAAGATGCCCGCTGATCTACAGAAAGTTCTAGATGAAAGCGTGAAAATCATTAACTACATTAAAAGCCGTCCTTTGAATGCACAACTTTTTTCGCAAATATGTGAAGAAATGGGAAGTAGTCATACTCAGCTGCTTTTTCATACCAATGTTCGTTGGCTATCTCGGGGAAAAATTCTAAACCGATTGTTCGAACTTAGACATGAACTTCAATGCTTTCTTAATGATAGATTTGAGTTGAGAAATTGTTTACATGACTGGAAATGGCTTTGTAAACTAGCATACTTAGCAGATATATTCTCTGTTTTAAATTGCCTCAACTTATTGTTACAAGGCAAAGAAATTCCATTGTTTCACGTTCAAGATAAAGTGAACGCTACCATCGCAAAACTAAATTTATGGCAAAAGAGAGTTGGTAATGGAGAAGTAGACTCGTTTCCCTCTCTTCATGAGTTTATAACAAGTTTGGCTACTAAAATTGAGGCTGATCCTCTGAAATGCATAATACAGCATTTGGAGAGTTTGCAAGTTGGCTTGAAAAACTATTTCCCTGATTTAAACAAAAATATTGAATGGATAAGATATCCGTTCAACATTAACACAACATCCATGCCAGAAGGTTTGTCGCATGCGGAAGAAGAGCAATTGTTGGAGTTAGCTTCGGATGGATTCTTGAGAAATAAACATAATTATAAAATAACATCATTCTGGTTACAAATGCAACATGTGTATCCGGTTTTAACAGAAAAAGTCCTGAAATACATCTTGCCTTTTCCAACTTCATATTTATGCGAAGTGGCTTTTTCTGCATTTGTAGACATTAAGTCGAAAAAAAGGAACAGACTATTGGACGTGGAACCGCATCTCAGATTAAAATTAACAACCAGGGAACCAAATTATGATGATCTGTCATCTCAACATAAACAATTTCATCCTTCTCATTGAATCAAATAAATGTTCTTTATAATATAACTTTTGTTTATTTTGTGTATGTACCAAAAAAAGAAAAAATAAATATATTTTGATTTTTATTAAAGCATATGTTTTTTATGAGGGGTACTCAGCGTTATGAAAATTATAGAAGGGGTACACATATGTCAAAAGTTTGGGAAACACTGCTATAAAGTATTATGTTGATACATTTTATACAGCAGCCTTTGATCATAAAATATTAAAAAACACTAGGAATGAGATTCATGCCACACAAATGAACCAGTTTTAGTAACTGCTATTTAATTCCCTACCAATAGAATTATGAAAAAAATGACTGACAGGAAAAATAAACTGCCATTTTCTGGCTTGTCAATAGTCAATATGGCAAACAGCAAGAGGATTTAAAGCAAAACATTCTGAACATTCAGTGCAGGTGTGAATAGAACTCAGTCATGATATAAATAAAACCTATTTAACCTGTTCACTTTAATTTTAAACAGGAATGACTGCTTGATTTTCCTACTGTAATATTTGCATTAAAAAAAACAGGTTATTTTTCTGTTTGCAGATTGGATTACAATTTATCTGTACACATTCTGTTCTGTACATTTTTGCCCCATATAGGAGTATTTGCAAGTAATTTTCTCACATGCTAATATATGTATTTTTTAAATAAGAGAATTTGCATCAAAAGCTTGGAAAAATCAGAAAAATTCGCAAAAATTAACTGCTCCAGCATATGTACAGTAACTAGTTCTGGACATGTAAATGCAAACCAACTGTACTTTTAATGTTGATAAAATTTATCCTTTAATTTCCATATTCTATCAATTGGCTGAAAGTAACAAAGGTACTATACCAGTTGGATCAAAGTCTTGAAAATAATCGGGACAATTCTGGTCAGCATATTCTCCAGCTGGTGTATCATCCCAACACAGCCATCCATCCCAGGTCCGGTTACAGTACAATCCTAGAAATTTGAAAGAAATATAGCTTGATAGTTTTGGGGAAAATACACTGACCTTCTTTTCTAAGATCAGAGTAATGTCTACCATGTTCATGAAAATGCCTAGCATTTTTGTTGTTTTTGCGTTAAAAGGCAAAGACTCCTTTGAGTTGAACTTGACTCCTGATGATTATATCTGTAATTTTCTTGGCAACAATACAGAAGTGGTATGTCTTCTGACATATTTTTTTCAATTTTGCGGAATGTCCTACCATCCCAGGATATTGCACTATCTCCCAATCCAATTTGTAATTTGGTTCAACTTGACTTAGTTTTTCAAAGCTGCCAAGTTCACTAGGTTATGTCACCTGCACTGGATAACATTGTTATTATTAATTATTAGAGCTTACTTCACATTACATCCCATCAATCCAGGATAATAGAGTGAATTAAATAAGGTCTATCAGAATTTAAGCCAGTATTGACATAGTTAAGTGGTCCCTTAAGTGCAGTGGTGGGATTCAGCCAGTTCGCACCACTTTGGGAGAACCGGTTGTTAACTTTCAGAGCAGTTTGGTGAACTGGTTGTTGGAAGAAATCATTAGGGCAGAGAACCGGTTGTTCTCTGCCCTAATGATTATTTGAATCCCACCACTGCTTAAGTGTGTACTATAACAGGGATCACTGATAATAATTCCATGACCTCGTTCTCCTGCATCATTGCAACTTGTTTATACAACAATTTCTTAGGCACCTAGATTCGCCTTTAGTAAGATGAGTGGCATACAGGTTAGATGAATAAAAATAAATAAATTTCTTGTTATGCTGTAAGGTTCCTGGTAGCTGACTTAAACAAACATTCAATTTTAAAATTTTGTTTAACAGAATTTATTGAAAAGAAAGGGATAGAATTACAAGATTTTCAGCAACTGAATTACAGAATTACTTCAAAACATTATCAGCTTTTTCCTAACAGACGTAATGTGAACTGGAGAACAGCTGGTTCTTTCCCCTTATTATGGAGAATTTGCAGGTGGCAGTTTATAATACTTCTGAATCTCTCTCTGTCTATGAGCATGTCGTTATTATCTGCTAACAACAGCAATAGTAGAAAGATTCAGAGCTGGTTGCTTCCAATATGGCAAAAAGTAAGATATTTGAGTAAATAGGAACACTGACAACGAGGGGACAAGATTACTTAGGCTGGATGGTATTCTTGAGTGTCAGGGCCATCAAAATCTGGATCTGACAGTATAATTATGTTACTTAAATCTGGCAATAAGTCAATGAAATGGGAAAGTCATCTTTGAAAGTTTTGTGGCTAAATGATATTAGAACCCAAAACACTAATGGGTGGTAAAAATTGTTAAATATATCTAAAATGCTTGGCCACCCTTGGAGTTGCTATCTAAAAGAAAATACTACTGATTTGTTGGGCAGCTTGAAAGTAGCTCCCAGGTGCATTTTCCTCATGATGGGAAGTCCAAGTGTTTCAGGTGTGGGTGGATGGTCTTTTCTTAGAAACACAAAAGTTAAAATGTTCAGCTTTTTGTCTGATAATTATTGACCTCAGCAATCCTATTTCTTTTTTAGATATAGCACATTTTCTTCCAGACTTTGTACTGGATAAAAGAACCCTATCATGGAATTAGTGGAAAAGATTAAGAAAACAACAAAAATGCAACCAAAATATATTTCTGAAAGACAGCGCAGTCAGTTATGTAGGAGGCTTAGTTTTTAATTTTGAAAAGATTTGTCATTCTATGAAATGAAAAACATTTGTATTTGCTAATACAATACAGAAACTTTTTCACCTGGGGGAAATAAAACAGGTTCCTCCACCTGCACATTCTTGTTATTTTTGAAAAAAAGAATAAAAACTAACTTTATTTCTGCACAATATGTACTTTCAATCTGCTTATTTGTTACCCTCAATTATTTGTTGCCTCATTAAAACAATCTTTTTTCCTTTTTACTATATATTTTTTTCAGTTCTGTATTATGCAACCTTACCAATGATATTTTTTTCATTTAACAAAGATATTATTTATTCTGTTCCTTCTACCGAAGAAGATAGCATTTTTTGAAAGCTAAAAAGACCCCTACTCTGTGTGCCATGATTTTTTGAATGGCATGCAATCAAGTTAAATGGTAGAAGGATTAAAACAAAAAAATGTATCACAATGCAGCAGATATCTCTTGAATATGTTCTATCTAAGGAAAAAAAGGCAAACTCTTTTATACATATTTGTTAGAGTACCTTGCTTAAAACATTATATCAAGAACAACTCTCTAATATCTATTATTAGATATCTAATACTTCTGCTTTAGGAGAATGAAATGAAATTCCAAAGCATTTAAAAAATATTATATAAAAGTAAGCTCTATGTTATGAGGACTTTGGTGGCAATAGCAACAGTATGCATTTTAGATCTGCTCAACATTAAAGGTGATATTGAAATTAATATCTCAAACCCAAGTTTCCTAGTCTGCTTTCCTCAAGATATTTCATACAATATGCACTAATTATATAAAAATGGTAAAAATAAATGTGCATTTCTTGGTACTATGCTTACCAAAGATGAGAAAAAAGAACATTTAAGACATTCAAATGTTGACAGACTGATGTGAGCTTTATGTAGTTCACTGTGAAAAATTAATGTTTGTCAAAAGAAAAAAAGTGGCTGTGCATTGCAATATAATTCTACCAATTTTGCTAAATGGAAGTCAAATTTAGTCTTTCAGAAGAAATGTAAAATCTAAATGCTATGAAAGTAAGCTATGTAATAAAATGATGATGCAAACAAGAAGAATAAGTTTAAGAATTAATAAGGAATGATTATTGATTGAATACAAAAGTAAATGAAAAACATAGGAAGCAAGTATATAGAAGTTATTTGATCATATACAAAGGACATAAATGAGGACTGAATCACAAAACACATAGTTAGCAGTTAATATATTTAAACAAACCATCAGTCCTGGATGTGATTGATAACATCACGGGAAAAACTTATATATATATAAATTTATGTACAGACTTGGTAGAAGCAAATTTTTTTTAGGATATAACAGTATAAAGAGATTGAATTAAATTAATCAATGGTATATTTAGCTATTTTCATTAATTATCTTTTTCTTGTTGCAATTTGTTTGGCTTAGTATTTCTTATTCCTTGTTTGCCCTTGTATAATTTCCTTATCCCAGGAAGAAAATGGTTACGTACAGAGGTGGGTTTTAGCAGGTTCTGACAGTTCTGGAGAACAGTAGCAGAAATTTTGAGTAGTTTGGGCAACCAGTAGTAAAAATTCTAATTGGCTCTGGGCCCATCTATTCTCTGCCTCCCAAGTCCCAGCTGATCAGGAGGAAATGGGGATTTTGCAGTATCCTTCCACTGGATTTGGGAGGAAATGGGGATTTTACAGTATCATTCTCCTGGAGTGGGGAGGGAATGGAGATTTTACAGTATCCTTCCCCTGCCACACCCACCAAGCCATGCCACGCCCACCAAGCCACACCCACAGAACCCGTAGTAAAACAATTTAAAACCCAGCACTGGTTATGTATATATAAGTATGTCTGTAAATAATTTGAAATACAAATAGTCTTTGACTTACAACAGTTCATTTAGTCATTGTTTGAAGTTATAACGCCACCAAAAAAAGTGAATTATGACCGCTTTTCACACTTATAACCATTGCAGCATCCCCTTGGTCATGTGATTTACATTCAGATGCTTAACAATTATGATAGTTCATATTTATGATGATTGCAGTGTCCCAGGTTCATGTAATCATCTTTTGTGACCTTCTGACCAGCAAAGTCAATGAGCAAGCCAGATTCACTTAACAACCGTGTTACTAATTTAACAACTGCTGTGATTCACTTTACAAATGTGGAAGAAGAGTTGTAAAATGGGGCAAAACCCACTTAACAAATTTCTCACTCAGCAACATAAATGTCAGGCTCAATTGTGGTCGTAAATTGAGGACTACCTGTTAGGCTCAATTGTGGTCGTAAATTGAGGACTACCTATTGAAGATATAGATTCTCTTTAAAAGTGCTTCTTCCTGTATTGCTTTTGTCTATATCAAAGCAAGCAAATTAGATTCATGGTTTGTCATGCTAAGTTTCTCCTCACCAGAAGTATCACAGTACTTTATGAGGGGAAGGTTTGGCTCAGGAAGTGATAACTGTATACAAGCTGTATGTTGGATGATCTCTCTGTTCTCCTTACCCTGTTTAGTGTTTACTGATTTTCAGGAATCAATGAATAATCAGGACAAGCATTAGAATCTTTCAGCAAAGCTCAAGAATGGCTTTTTTGAAAAGTGAAAACCAAAACAAAGAATAGGTCCACATAGCTCTTGATTAAAGTAATATATATTCAACCAATGATTTTCCTTGGAATCAAATATTTTCTTATGGTTATTAATCTCTTTGATGGTTCTGCCTCTTTTATTCAGCATGATGTGGCATCAAGTGGTGTCTCTCTTTTTAAAAGCTAGCACTTTAAAACCACTTAGCCACTTAAATATTCAGCCAGATGAGCTGCTTCATTCTGCTCCAGAGATAAGGGTACAAAGGATCTCCCTGGATTCAGCACAAATGTAATATGTTTTTCCTAATTGGTCTTGATTCCTTACTGAGGGCAGGAATCTTAATTACCAAAATCTATTCTTTAATTTATTTTTTTCTTTGATGGAGCAGAGCAAGAATATATTTATGTGTAAATAATGAAATGAAGACATCAATTAAATAAAACAGGTTTTATTCATATGATATATTCATCCGTAGCGAAGTATAGTATTTCAGTAGAGATCATTTTCTGCATTCATTAAAATGATAGAGTTGGGTCTGTACATGCTAGACTAAACTGTAGTTGGGTATTGTATGCTTGGTATGTCATAGCCAGAGAGATAATTAAGGGATGATTAGAGAAGCAATAACAGGACAAAAATTACCAGGAAGAAACTTTCAGTTAAAGACTTAATACTCTTTTATCCACATTCAAATGATGGGTATAAAAACAGTACAGATAGTCTTTGATTTACAATCACAATTGAGCTCAAAAATCTGTTACTAAGCAAGATAGTTGTTAAGTGAGTTTTAAACCATTTTACGACCTTTCTTGCTACAGTTAAGTGAATCACTGTCGTTGTTAAGTTAGTAACATGATTGTCAAGTGACTCTGGCTTCCCCATTGACTCTGCCTGTTAGAAGATCACAAAAAGTGATCACATGACCCTGGGACACTGCAATCGTCATACATGCGAGGCAGTTGTCAAGCAGCTGAATTTTGATCATGTGACCATGGAGACGCTGCAATAGTCATAAGTCTGAAAAATGGTAATAAGTCACTTTTTTCCAGTGCCACTGTAACTTTGAACAGTCACTAAACAAACTGTTGTAAGTTGAGGACTACCTGTGTTTGTTTTGTCTATGAAATTTTGTGATAATTCAAATCTAAATAGAGGAGAATACAAAAAAATACTTTCAACATGGGGGGAAAAAGGACCACCACATTTTCCAGATTTACAAAGAGAGTATGGCTTAATAAGAAGCTGACAGAACATACAAAGAATCAGGTCTATTGAGCCTGCGTCCTGAGCACACTCTTGTACTGCAGTGAGTCATGGATCCTTTACTCACTGCAGGAGAGAAAGTTGAACATCTTTCATATGCACTGTCTCTGATGTATTCTTGGCATCACCTAGCAGAACAAAGTTCCAAATAGCGCAGTCTTGGAATGTGCTGGAATTTCTAGCATGTATACACTATTGAAACAGCGACATCTATGCTGGCTTGAGCATGTCGTGAGAATGACTGATGGTCGGATTCCGAAAGATCTCCTTTATGAAGAATTAGTGCAGGGAAAGCGCCCCAGAGGGAGACCACAGCTGCGATATAAGGATATCTGCAAGAGGGACCTAAAGGCCCTGGGAATGGACATTAACAACTGGGAAACTTTGACTTCCGATCATTCAGCTTGGAGGCTAAAGACGCAGCATGGCCTTCTCCAATTCGGAGAGACACTTGTTTGGCAGGCTGAGGCAAAGAGGCAGTCCCGGAACCAGTGAAATCTGGGGCTGGGCAGGGGACAGAATGTATCTGCCCTCAGTGTGGAGGGGATTGCCACTCTCGAATTGGCCTTTTTAGTCACATTAGATGCTGTTTTAGGACCTCTTTCCAGAGCACAATACCATAGTCTCTTGAGACTGAAGGATGCCAATGCAAATGTAACTTTGAACAGTCACTAAACAAACTGTTGTAAGTTGAGGACTACCTGTATTTGTTTTGTCTATGAAATCTTGTGATAATTCAAATCTAAATATAGGACAATACAAAAAAATACTTTCAACATGGGAGGGGAAAAGACCAGTATGGGGTCAAGGTTTAGAAATATGAACACCAAATCAGTTGTAAAAAAATGTTGCCCTGCATAACATATTCAATACACCTTCAAAATGAATAAGCTTTCTGCTTAAATGAAGAACCTTTCTGCTTAAATAAATGTTATTCATAATCAAACGTTGCCCTTGACACTTACACTATTTATAAAATTTTGTGAGATTTTCATTCTAATAGTTATTACCAGACATGTTTTCTTATAATTGTGTTCATGTTGATTTCTCCTTACTCCCTTTTTCTTTTCAGCAATCCAAAAATCTAAGCACTGCTTTAAATAATAATTTCAAATAATTTTTTTCTTTCTCTTGTTTGTTTCTTTACCTTTTTTCTTGTAAGGAGGTGCTCTGTTCATCCTTTCATAGCACTTGAACTGTGAATCTACTATTTTCTGGCGTATCACTGAATATTCCATAGACTCTAAAGTAGGATTGACATAATTTACAGTAGTGGGGAAACTTGGAGCCATTCTCTGTGTATATAAAAAAAATATGTTAATATTTGTAAGTTATATCAGGACAATTCAATAAAAAAAATTCTATTTGTTTGCTTGATCAAGGAATTTGGAGTTGCAAGGAAAATGTACAATGCTCTTAATCTCAAGGACATGTATCTATAGAGTTGCCAACAGGCAGGACTGAATGCGACTTTGAATGATTGTGTGCCTTGATTCCCTGAGAGATCTTCTATCGTATTATAAAAACATGCATAGAAAAACTGTGTGGAAAACTTCATTCACTGTAGTGATCTAGCGTAAGAGCTCTCTATAATTTCTTATCTCTTCTTTTAATGACAGTAGCAAGATACAGTCATTAAAAGGTGGTTATGAGTATATCCTTATTAGTAGATATGTTATTGTTACTGTATTCTTTGATTATGTTGTTAATGTTGGAAACAAAAAAAGAGGACAAACGCCCCATTCCCATTATTTCAATAGTACAACTATTTTTTTGTAGCAATATTCCATCTATTTTATTATTAATTTCCAGTGTTATCAAGACCAAGAAATACTTATCTAATTTTTTCACATTCCTACAGTACATGCAGTCTCAGGACAATGTTTCACATATTGGTATAAAGAAGTGTAATACACACAGGTCAGCTAATTGTGAGTAAGCATATTTTATCTTTGTTCATATAATATAGTGGAACAGTGTATATTCCCATAAATTAAAATAAAATTATTTAAAGCATGAGTGGTCAGAAGAGGGATTTAGAAGTACTCCCGGAATTCCAGATAACTTGCCTGATTTCTAACAAGGACAGATAATCAAAGAGAATATGGGCAATGCTGTTAGCTATGATTCAGGGTTGTATATATAGTTTATATATATATATAAACTATATATAGTTTATATATATATATAAACTATATATATGTATATATAGTTTTATATATATATATATAAAAACAGAAAGAACACCGGAGATGTTTTTATGTTAAGCTGAAAAAATGAAATAGGCTGTTTTGACATATCAAACCAAAATAATCTATGTCAATCTCAACTTTTGGTGACTCAAATTTCTTGGCAACAGTACATTGCTTCTGGGATACTTTTTAAATTTTCCAATCTTGTTTATAGGACAGCTACCAATCGGATTTTTGCAGCTCTGATCAGGTTGCCCTTGTCTATACACCTGGAACTTCCTGCTAATCTCTTTAACTTTCAAGTCCACACAAAGTCAGTCAAGTGCTGTTAAATACTGAGATTCCAATAGCAAAGAATAGAATTTTGTTGTTTTTTTTATATGCTTCCAACAATAAGGGGTGGATTCACTCATCATGCAAGACTAATCCGCAATCAAATCACATTATGATTTTATATTGAGCATGAACCATGCAAATCAGTGATGGCTTATGCATCAGGAATTGCCAATAATTTATTTTCATTCTACTTCAATCTGCAGAACTTACTCAATTAAAAGATATAAATAGTAGGGCTGTGCCTAGCATGTGAAAGTTATATGGAGGCACAAATGAAGCTTCTCTCTTTGAATTGTTATAGCATTTGTGCCTTTTGCAACACTGTGCTTCGCTGGCTAGGTTTATTTTCCCAATTGCCCCTTTCAAATATTATGCACAGCTTTAATATGAAGATTAATATGTTAATGTTGTTGTAACTGACCAATATTCTTCTCCATTGAAATAGAAAGGACTTTTTAAAAAGGAAATGTATTTTGCTGAATACATCTAGCATTTGATATGATCAAATTCTTAGACACATATATTAAAAATAGATCCCACTGAATTCAGTAAGGGTTACTTCCAAGTAAATATGCAAACAGCTGTCCTATTAAAATACAACATACTTTTTGCCTTTTCTCCCTATCAGCATAAATTTCTATATACATCTTTATACTTCTAAGTACAATTTATGCAGCAGGTACATTTTTGTACCAGGTTATTTCTTCTTTTTTGGATTTAGTATATTTTAGTTAAAACCTCTGGTTTAGATTGAACATGTTTCTACACTGATTCAAGACTAAAATGACAAAGGTGTATAGCTTTGGAAAGATTAGGTAATTTTGCATTTATTCTTATATTTCCATCATCCATTTTTATTGGTTCAATTTACCGTGGAAATGTAAATAAGGAAGTCTACTGATGGCATGAAATCTTTCTTTTTCTCAGGGCTACTGTATGAGGCATTTGGAAATATACTAATCTGTTCCTTTCGTAAAGTATTCTGCTCATCTGTAAGACACTTAATGACCTAGTAAGAAATGCCATTGTATATCTAAGGGAACACATGAAGACTTTTACAGTTTAATATCAGTTTCCTTTTCAAAGGCAGCAGCAGGAACCTCTTTGTCATCATTGCACTATTTAATTTGACTTACTACTATCACATCAACAGAACAATTTTCTTGGTGTTGAAAAAATAAATTGGAACCATGTTAACTGTCATGTTCTCACTTTTAGATCTACTCCATCCAACATTTATAATCTTTATACCAAATCTAACAAAAGCTATATGCAAGTTACGTGTTTCAGCTTCTATCAGTCAAGTATCTAGAACAGATATTTTTAACCCAACCATATGTTCGTTTAGAAAGTTTATTACAGTCTGTCATATAATAGTCTCCTAGAGCAACTAACAGATATTGAACAAGATAGAAATTACTTTAAAATGCTAAAGTTGACAAAATAGCATGCTGCATAATATAGATCACATTAAAAGATAATTGAAGAATCAAAACTGAAGTGTCTCCTCCCATTGATTCCCCTCTACCTCTTACTGAATGTTGGGAGACCAAAAGAAAGCCCTCTAAAATGGAATGACATTAGGTATTACCAGTACAATTTTAGGAATATGGCATCCAAGCTCTTCTACAAAGACTGCTTCTGATGAAATTCATTTGTTCATTTATTTATCTGGCTGCTCATCTCAAGTTCATGATAGTGGACAGGTAACAATAGTGAACATTTATGTAGAAACAAGCAAAAAAACCCCTCATATTAAAACCTTATAAAGACAATTAGCAGCCAAGGTACAAAAACCAGTAGCAATTAATATAAGCATGGACTTTGTAAGTTATTAGGTCTTATAAAAAGACACAAAGGCCGATCTAATCTTCAGGGAATGCTGTTCCAAAGGGCAGGTGCATGGAAGAAATGAGTGTCTTCTGGGCCCTGCCAGGTGACATGATCTAAGTCTAAGCGATGGTATGCAGAACATGTGTCTTCTGCTGAATGGGGATTAGGGTATAATCCAGGGGTGGGTTCTAAAATTTTTTACTACTGGTTCTGTGGGTATGGCTTATTTTGTGGGCATGGCTTTGCGGGGGGGGGGGGGTAATGTCACTGGATGGACGTGGCCAACTTTTTTTTTTTTACTTTACTTTTAAAAGCATTTTTTTTACAACTTAAGAGGTTGCAGAAAAAAATGCTTTTAAAAGTCTCTGATGATTGCAGCTGAGCCGCACAATCATCAGAGGCTTTTTTTTTTACTTTTAAAAGCATTTTTTTTTGGCCAAAGAGGTTGTAGAAAAAATGCTTTTACAAGTAAAAAAAAAAGGCTCTGATGAGGTCGGCGGGGTAAGCGAGTGGGCCGGGGATCGGTTCGGGAGCATGGCCGGCCAATGTTATTACCAGTTCTCCAAACTACTACAAATTTTTACTACTGGTTCTTGCAAATCGGTGTGAACTGGGAGTAATCCACCACTGATATAATATGATGGGACAATTAGACAAAATCCAGGAGAGGTAGACCCACAAATAACTCGAATGTTTGGCATTTTTGTCCATTGAGTTCCTTCCCAATGACATCTGGAATAAGCAGATGCTGTTTGATGCTGTTAAAGGTATCATTGCAGGATGTAAGCTGTTCCAAGTAAAGCTGCCTTTTGCAACTGATTGATGATGATTTTGCCAGTGCAAATGGTGTTCTAGTGGTGCTCCAGATGTTCTGAGCTTGCACCCAAGGTATCTATTACTATTGGTATTACCTTTGTTTTATTTTGCCATAGTCATTCCACTTCTATTTACAGGTATTTTGTGATTTTCTCCATTTCTTTCTCTTCTCTTCTCCTTCTGCCTTATCCACTATCCACACTTTTTTTGTCTTTCCAATCAACAATTGTTACATCTAGGATATTATGTGAATACTAAAGTTCCACAGCTTCTTCATTATCTATTATTTTGTCTGTTTTTGTGCTCCTACCAGCTTTTGCTTGCAAGCAAATGATATTTCTTTCAGATCTTCTAATGTACTATTGTTGCTAGTTTGTCATGCCATTGTTTGTAGTCAGTCTGTGAGATCTTACAGCAGCTAACTAGGTGTCCACTGTTTTTTCAGCTTCTTTGAAGAAGTGGTAGCTGCTGCCTGTTGCTGTCTTTTCAATTCTGGCTTTGTATTCATTTGTTCTTAATCTTGGTCTTATCCAATCAGAATTAGCCCCTCTGTCTCTTTCTTCAACTTTGTTGCTCTTAGCTCTTGCTGGGTCTTGTAGTTATGTGCATTTACTGGTACCTTGTGTGTATGTGCATGTGTGTACTAGCCATGTAATGCTTTCTCTTCCCATGTCTCTTTTCTGTTCCTCATTTTGTCTTTTTGTAGGCCAGTTCAGTCTCTCCAAAAGTCAGTAAGCCTTCCTGAAATATTAGCTTCAGTGGATATTCTTCACTTTCCTTCAGGTATTTTTCTAATGTCCTTTTGTCTTCTTTAACTATCTGGTGTACTTGCAACATTCCATGCCTACCTATGCTCCATGTTTAGGAGAGTGAACTGCTTGATTGATCACTCAGCTCCAATGGACTCTAGGAAGTGTACAAAACTATAAAATAACATTAAAACAGCTAGTTGCCTTATAGAATGAATAATCAGAAAAAGCAACCGAAAACGAAGACCTCCTCAATTAAGCTCACGCTCACTATAGACCCATTTATTCTTGGTCTTCGTAAAAGCTAGTATTCCATGAGAGAAAGGACAGAAGTAGATAACAGGCTGGATTCTATCTTCCTCTCCAATC